AAAAAAAAATTCAGAGAAAAAAATACTAAAACTGTTACCAAAATTTAAAGAAAAAACTGTGTATTTGATGACCACAGTAAGCTATATAGCCCCAGCTAGGTACCATTTTATAGTATGTTCATTCTACTCACTGAGGTTTATGCCTAAAGTCAGACATGGGTTCTTGTGTATGTATATATCAGCTGTGCTTGCTATTGCAAATATTTAGACAAATTAAGTTCATTAGCCAATCAATTAAATGGGGGGGAAAGGCATAGAAAGCAACCATGGATACCAGGGACGATGGGAGGAGGGTTGGAAGGGCAGAGGGTTAGGGATAGGGAATCAAGGATGGCAAAAAACAAAACAAAACAAAAAAAACACAAAATATACAAGACATAAGAAATGAAAAATTGTTTGTTGATAACACGTATGTTGATGTGCTTGATTGAGCCAACAAACAGTGTATTTGGGATGAAAAATTCATTTTGTATACTGTAATGATGTATAGCATATTAATGTTAAAAAAAGAAAAATAAATTAATAAAAAATAAAAGAAAAAGAAAAAATAAAGAATATCGGAGCAGATCTGAAAGCTACCTCCATACCATCTCTCCAGATGGGGCAATTCAAGCTGAGTTTGAGGACGTGGATGGAAAATAAACCACCTCTTTATTTTTCAGAGCTTCGAACTACGAGTTGGCCTTTCCTTCTAACCTAAGTGTAGACAACCAACCATAGCTATCAAAGGAGTGCCTGGGCCTTTGTCACCAGGAGCAATCACAGGCCTTCTCATGACTCAATTATGCTCTTCGCAATTTCAGTTTTCTTTATAACCCTCTATCTTTTAATGTAGTCATTTAAACATGGTTCAAGGGCCGGCAGGTGGCGTGGAGGTTAAGGTGCTGGACTCTCAGATGGCCGACCACGGTCCGAGTCTCAGACCTGGTGGCTTGCTCGCTCCACTTTCCTCGCTCTCTTCCTCTCCTTCTCTCATCAAATTAAAAAATAATAAAATATTAAAATAAATAATTAAAAAAACATTATCTGACAAATGATTCATGGACAAACTAGCGCGCCACGGGTGTGCGAAATGACGAAGGCCAAGGACACCCGCCGGGGCCTCCAGCACCAGGCCTGCTGTCGCAGTCCTTACCTGCACCACACAGCCTGCCCCCAAATCCTCCTGGTCCTGCTGCCTCTTGCTCTTTCTCCTGCGGAACCCCCAGACTATCAAGTACAAATTCCCCTCCATCCTCTCCTACGGGTTCCAATCTGCCCAGCGAGCTGGTTAAATTAAATAGATCTGTAAGTTTTAACACTCTCTGGCTCTAAGGAGAAGAGAACTAGAGACCAGAGAGGACATTTGTTAAAAACGAAGCTTTCCATCACTTTCAGAAGAATGAGGGCGTAGGAATATGGCCGATTCATACTCCAAACATTTCCTACCTGTCAAACCAACTAAATGTAATTCTACTCAGAAATGAAGCTGTAGATGATGGATTCTGAAAGACAAAAAATTAAAAAGTAAATCAATTGGGAACAGGACGTCTACGGGACTCTATGCTCAGAAACTGCTTTTTCTAGGTACAAGGTGTTTGGAATGAGATGGCGTGCTGCAGTCCGCGGGCGGACACGTGTGTTTGGAGACCCCACCGTCACTAGGAGAATGCTAATCAGATCTTCAGTCATAGAGGTACAATATAACCTCCTTTGCAGAATATATGTGGCTGACAATAAAAATCAGTATTTTAATACTG